GCAGGGCCTGTTGTGATAGGACAAGGGGTAATGGTTTTAAACTAAAAGAGGGTAGATTTAGATTGGGTAGATTTAGATTAGACATAAGGAAGAAATTTTTTACAATGAGGTTGGTGAAACACTGGCACAGGTCGCCCAGAGAGGTGGTAGATGCTGCATCCCTGGAAACTTTCAAGATCAGGTTGGATGGGGCGCTGAGCAACCTGATCTAGTTGAAGATGTCCTTGCCTGGGGGGTTGGACTAGATGCCCCTGCAGGGGGGTTGGACTAGATGACCTTTAAAGGTCCCTTCCAACTTAGACTATGCTATGATCAAGTCTTATGAAGTCTACAACTGTAAAAACTCTACAGCTACCCTACCAACACCATTTGTGATTTCAGTGAAGGATTACGTCAAGGATTTACTAAAACAAACAAAACCACCCCAAAAAAACCCAACACAAAAAACACAAGGGAAAAACAAACCCCCAAACCAAATGTTGTAACTGCCAGTAACTAACCCTCTACCTCTAGATTCCCTACGTTTTCTCAGTTGCCCAAGGCACGTCCTGGCCTACGTTTCCCAGGTCTTCTTGGCTGCTGCTTTGCTCCTGGACAACTGTGCAAAACTAATATTCTTCCAGTTGCCTTTGAATACCACAAACATTTCACATATGCTGAAACTTAACATCAGAAGATTTAAATCCACCAGTCAAGCCTTTGAGGATGATTAAACATGAGGTATCCAGGCCTGCTGGCTGTAGATTTTTAGACAACACATCCCAGAAGGCTTAGGTTCCTTGGTGATGCCTGGCTCAGAGGGCAGCTCTGCCCCTCTCCAACCCACTAGCAAGCACCCACTGCGCTTTGCTAGCTTGTGCTTTTGCTCATGCGCTTGTAAGGTTACTACATCCCAAACCACTCATGCAGCACAGCTCTGCACTGCACTCCTGCTGGGCATCACCTGATAGACAAGAGTGAATTACAGCCCATCTTATCTCAATAAGGAAGGGGGAAATAGGGTCAAGACTGAGTTATTGGTAACTACAGTCACGGCAACTCTTGTGCTCCAGCAGAGACTTTCTTATGGATCCTCCCTGAGGAGCTTGAGGGAGGTGGAGCCTCTGCTAAGTGTGAAAGGAGTCATGAGCTCTATGGCCCAGCCCAGCATGAAGGATATTTCAGTACCTGGAATTTGGTCCAGCAGCTGGGGCTGCAGAACTGGTAGACAACCCGGTCTGTCTTGTTGTAATAGCAGGGTTCAGATAAACTCTTTCTGCAGAAGCTGCAGGGTCTAGGGGGACCTGATGAAACAGACAGAAATTGGTGAGGGCAGCAGCACAGGACGTGGGACTGGATTCTGAGGATGTCATGCAAGCTACTCACTCATCCTCAGTCTGTCAAACTATTACCAAAAGTAAGGGACAAGAACCTCAGGACACTAAGAGCACCAGATTCTGCTAGGACAGAAATGTTAAAACACGGATGGAAAGCAGAGTGGTTCAAGGAAGTGACACTGGCTCTACAGGAATTCGGACAAAACAGTCTGCAATACTTCCACCAGAGACCATACCCATTCCTGGACACCCTGGTACCCTGTGTAATGTAAAGGGCAATCCCAGCACAGTACAGCACTACAACTGCTTCTTGCATTCTCAAGAACAGCAATGTATGCTACACCTCAGTGTTAAGATATCTATGCTGCAAGGGTCCCTCCCTCTTGAAATCTCCTTTCACTTGTCTCACTGGACTCCTCCCCAGGCAAACGACGTGCCTTCTTTCCAGTCTCATCCATAAGCAGTAAATAGTACCAAGAAAGGAGTTAGAGTGTAGAGGTGACTGATTCCCTATATGTAGGTGCTCTTACCAACCAAGCCTGACTGCTTCACTTTGTGGGAGGTAGTGCAGCAAATGGAGCAGAACAGGCCCATCTTGCCACTGCGATCCACGTTGGGCAGCATGTCAAAGTTCTTGCACAGCGTCTTACACCACATGCACGGGTAGACCCGAGTGTTCTTCTGCAAACATAGAGCAGAACAGAGCTGCCAGGGAGACCATCACAGCTGGGGAGGTCCCAGCCTCATATCCCACTCCCCTACTGTATCCACCATTGGGCAGCTCTCCTGCAGGGAACACCTCATGCCAGAGCCAGGCTCATAGTCTGCAGATTCAGGTGGTGGCAGCAAAAAAGGCTGCCTTCTGCACTTCACCTTCTTATTTCTAGGGTACTGTGGCAATCTCATCAAGACAGTTAAGTGAAGCCTGCTCAGGCCAGAGGAACATATCCAGCTAAGCTTTGGGGAGACACCCAAAAGAAGCCAGGCCATACTGACTGCATATACCAGTGTCGCTGCACAGTCAGCTTACTGAGTGCCTGACCCATGCTTCGGTGCAAGATGGGCCCCATACAGAATAAATAAATGCTGTTTGCCACTTCAAAATTTCTCCATAGCAATTTCTTAAATGTTTTGTCAGCAATAAGAGGCCAAGGGGATTCGTCACCTGCTATTGCACAAAGTGCCCTGTGCCACACCGAGCAAAGGACTGGTGTGTCCACGGAGACCTCCCACCCCAGGCAGGTAACTCCACAAACCTTCTTGTAACTGTTGAGACAGGCAGAGTTGCAGAATCGTTTTTGCTGGCCTTCATGGAAGAGGTACTCCAGGGGCAAGCCCTTGTTGTAGATGTAAAGTCCACAGTTGTCACAGCAGTTAGTTTTCAGCCCCTTGGTGGCCCGGAACTTGGTGAAGCAGGCATCGCTGCAGATGCGGTGAACCACGTTCCCATTGCTGACCTCATGCTGGATCTGCAGAAACATCATTGCTGTCACTCCCCTAAAGCACCATGTGCCTCCTTCTGACATCTGTGTACCACTACTGCCTCAGTCCTTGGGATAGCGAGCTGTTACACTAAAACTCGAGCAAGTGCCGTACTGGAAGCTGGTGTGGACTCCGGCTGGCCGCCCTCACCAAAAGTCAGCAGAGCAATTGGGAGAGCAGAGTGGCAGAAGCCATGAACTTCAGGGCAGGGAGAAGCAGAAGCCTTATTCCTTCTGCTGGGATAAGGGCTGGTTCACAGCAACTAGGAAGGACCTGGGAGTGAGCCCAAACCAGCTCCGGGGCTGAGGCCTCAGACCATGAGAACCTGGCAAACGCCCTGCGATGATCCCAGGCATGGCAAGGTGCTGCAGATCACAAGCACTTCATCCAGGACATGGGAAGGACAAGGGATTTGTTTACCTCGCCAGGTTTGTGGCAGGGGCTGCAGCGGCTGGTGTCCGAGGCATCTGCAGACTGAGGTGCTGGTCTGTGTTGCTGGGCCTCGTAGAGGGAGAGGCAGACAGAGGTGCAGAACTCGTGGAAAGAGCCACCTGAACCGATCTGGGCGACCACAGAGTCCTTGGTGTTCCAGATCTCCCTGGGGATCAAGAGGAGATATCTTAGTGCAGGGACACACCAGTCCTGCCACCGAAGCGACAGGAAGACACACTGCAATACATGGGACTTTCTGGTGTCCCAAAATGGTGGCAAGAACTCTCTCACAGCAGCTTCTGTCCCAGCCCAGAGGGGTGGTGCCTGAAGATGGAGCATGCTGGAGGTTGTTCTGAGAGGAGGCTGGGATATGGGGCATTAAGCCTAGGGACAGGCAGGGAAAGGCAATAATGTGAAGGGAGCAGGGAGGTGTAGGGAGCATGGGATACGTCGTGTGTGAAGGAAGACAAGGGGTAGCAGCTGGCAGAGGGCAGGAGTGATGTGGGTGAGTGGGAAGCATGAGGGTCACAGGAATGGGAATGGCAGGCAGAGCTGTGGGGCAGGTGAATAGGGTCACAAGCATGGGAGCACCGAGGAAAGGAGAGTGAACACACACTTTTTACAGAAGGTGCATATCTTCTTGCCAGGTGGTTTTTTTGAGAAGGTGGTGAGACATGAGCTGGAGCAGAAGAGCTGAGGGAGCCCTTTACGCTGGTAGGCAGTTTGGCCCTTCTGCAGTGGGGTCCGGCAGTTGGCACAAGTCATCTTGGTGACAGTAGAGCGGGCAGCTCGCTGAGCCATCTGAGTGCGTAAAGACATGCGAGTTGAGCGTCGGGTACGAAAAGGAACAAAATCCTCATCATTGGGATCATCCACCATTGCATCAGAGTCCTCATCAGACACTGGAACTGCAAAGCAGCAGAGAAAGATACACAGAAATCCCTCATTAGCAACTGAGACAGAGACCTCTGCCATGAGACACATGCTGAGGCTTTCTGGGGTCACCTTTCTGGAGTCCCTCTACATGTTTTGTACCTCTCTGGGTGGAATGATAAAGGGACCCTTAAAAAATACTCTGTTGGAACTGGAGATGAGTCAGCAGGTCTTTAAGCAAACTGGGCTTAAGTACAATTCCTCTCTGGGAAGTCATGATTTGCCAAGGTTGAGCAGAAGCCCAAAGTGTGAACATTTACAGCAAAAAACCCTCCAAGAACCTGTAGACCTTAAAGGGAACAAACTGGATCACCAGTCTCCAGCACAGGCTGCACAGACAGGCAATGAAGGAGCAATACACAAATACTAGGGAATGGCAGGGTGACACTCAACATCTCAAAGAACAAAGAATTCATGTACTTCTGCAGGAAAATCTCCAATCCCTCAAACAGTTTGCTGCCATAGAGACAGCCTCCTGGCTGAGGAGATGGAAGATGGATTTCCTGGGAACAACCCCAGAGTCTCATCCTATTACTTGGTGCTAGGTATCCACACACCACTGTGAAAATGCCACAGTCCTCCCTTCAACCTAAGTGCCCTGACAAAGCAAGGCAAGTACCCCAGGATGAAGACTCACAGGGTGAAGAGACCTGTCCTCTGTGAGAGGAAAGTCAGCACAGAAGCTCCAGAGTTTCCACCTTACTCACACCATGAACCACCTGCCCACAACGGGACTGGGCCCAGCTCTCTGGCTGAAAACAGGCATTGGCCAGCCCTGGTTACTCACTGCTCTCAGAGGAGTTCACAGTTTCAGGCCTGGCAGTTTCTGATCTTCTGGCTCGTTCACTTCTTTTCTGCTCCTAGAAGACATTCAGAAAATACTTAGGCTAACCATCTGTTAGGACAACCATGGATCAATATCCCAGGTCATGGTGGAGTTCCAACTTCTGGGATCCACTTTCCCAGTAACTAGGCTGAAAACAGATAAAACTCCATGGATACCTGACCAGAGTTGTCAAGATGGGGGAAAGGGGGAAGTAGGCTTATGAGAATGACATTCCAGCTGGGGGTAGCAGGGACACACTGAAGCCACATGACAGCACAGTGGCAATGCGCAGGGATCACTCCATCACAGGAGACACGCAAACTCCTTCCCAGACAGGTGACGAGACAGCCAGTGTCCCTTATGGAGTTAGACAACAGCCAGTCACCCTCTACGCTCCTGTAGCATATGTACTTGACTGCATTCTCCTCACCTTCTCAGTTGGCAGCTCACTTCCCTTCCCAGACTGGCCTTCTCCTGGAACAGAAGCACAGAAGAAGCTTGCATCTAACATCTTGCTTTTCTCCAACAGAAGAGGATAGTTGTTCTTCAAATGCAACCACCCTTTGGGGTAATCTGCACATGAAGCCTCAGACAGTCCTGGCAGTGACCAGACACAGGAAAGTCCTAAACCCACCACCTACAGTTAGAGATCCAAACCCACAGCGTGGGAGGAGCCCTGTACGGAAGAGACCTCCCTGCATGGGAGAGGCATGCTGGGCAGTTACGTCCAACTGCTTCTGACTGAGACTGAGCATCTCCTGAGGATGGCCAGCCTGGGTAGAGAGACTTTGTCTATTGGAAACGCCTTCTCCTGGTGACCCTCAGTTCCAGCAAAGACTCCAGTGATGAAAAGCATGAGCTAAGCTGATGTGCAGCCGCAGCTTTATCAGGGAAGCTCCTGGCTGACACAAGCATTGAAAACCAAAGCCAAAGCTACGAAAGCCAGAGCAAGAGCTCATGTGCACCAAGGGAGCAGCTTCCGGAGCATATTCCCTGTAAGCAAGATGCTTTACCCAAATCTAGCCCATCACCAGCATTGACAATTTCCATAGCAGGGGACAATGGGAAAAGTTGGAGTGCAAAACAGACTCCACCTTCAGCAATGTGCAGCAGGATGACCTCCTGAGCAAAAGGAAGCCATGTTCTGCAGAGCTCACAACCTACCTGCTCGTGATGAGGCTTCCTGTGCTTTCAGTACATTACTTTCTTTAAGCGAGTTGTTCCCACTATCATCCCCTTCCCCTGTCTGGATTTCCTCTGTGGGCTCAGGGGGCAAAGCTGCAGTACCGTTGTCCGGGCTCAGTTCTACCTCTGCTTCCCCTGCCAGACCTTCCCTCTGCATGGGTGAGCTCTTCCTCGGTGCCTTCAACCTTGTCTTCTTTGTCTGTTTAAGACTGAGCTGTGGAGGGGGCACTGGTGGATTTGAGGACTGTGCTGTGATTTCTTCTGTGGCTGGGGCACTGCTGAGGTCTCCAGAGTCAGGAACAGGCTGTTGGGGCGATTCAGGGGCATTGTCATCAGACAGTGCAGGAATAGCAGCAGCACCATCTCCTTTTAGGTCCCCAGAATCATTTTTTGGTGCATCTTCCCCTTCTTTCCATGTTTCTGGAACAAGGGCTTCTCTAAAGAGGGCAGAGGAGTCCACTGGTCCATCCTCCACATCCTGGGTAGGATGTGCCTTATGCAGCCCACCCAGACCCTCAGATTTACCTAGTTCCATCAAGTCAGCAGTTTTATCCAAGTCATCTAAGACATCAGGTTTCTCCAGCATATCCAAGACACTAGGTTTATCTAGAACAACATCGTTTGATTTGTTTAGTTCAGACAGGCTGTCTGCTTTTACTACAACATCCAACTCCCCATCTGCAGTCATTTTCTTGGACGGATCCCAGTCAGGGGGCTGATGAACTGAAACTTCCTGGGTAGAAGCTGTTTGTGAGCCCAGGAGATCTTCCCCAAACTCCATGTCAGCAGGGAGATCACCAATAAGTGGTTTGTCAGGCAAGGACAGGGGGTCCAACGATCCCGAAAATTCACTGGAATTCATTTAGAAGATGGCAACTGGAAATGAGAGAGAGAGACTTGCAAGTTCATAAAAAGTAGTCTAACACAGCACCTGAATTCTCCACTTTTTTGAACACTGTTGGAGTAAAACAAGGCCCAGTAACACTGCTAGCCACAACCAGGATACCAGCAGGTCAATCACGTCTACTTGTGAGGTTACAGAACTCCAAAGCTGAACAGCTGGAGCAGGACACAGCAGTTCGGTATAGCAGACCTTTGGGAACTCTACAGCCTCCACACACCTCACCACAGCACCGCAAATGGAGTTACTTTTGCTAAATGACACAGCAGAGTATCAGAAATGACTCGACTACCAATTCAGGAGGCTTCACACAGCTGTTCCGTGGTGTTTAATACCCCTTCCCTGCCTTCCTCTCTCTCCCACCAAACCCAAACAATCTGGTTTGTCCTTTCTTCTGATGTGTTCTCGTGGAGCTAACACATCTTTTGTTTTTAAAATATCTCTTCTCTTAAACACAGAGGCAGAAAGAACTCCTTTACAGCTCTGTAGCTTGTGCCTTAAACAAGATACAAAATGACAAGATGCATGAATTTTGTCAGAGGAGAGATACAAACCATGTTACAGTATAACTACAGCTACAGCTCAAAAAATACGTGGGCTAATATTCAGACACAGAACAATCGGAAAAGCTTAAGTTAGAACTAGGAGGAATTCTGGAGAACGGCAAGAAGAAAGGTGGTAAAGCCCATGATGTTAAAAGCAGTTATAAGAGGAAGAACAAGTAGCAAACTAGACACGAGCATGCAATGCAAAGTCTGGAAAACATACCAGTGTGACTTTGCAGGGCACAGACAGCACACTTGCCCAGGAAGATGAGATGCTGATCACGAACACTGGAGGGACAAAGTTACAGCCCAGCTCCTCCTGGTTGACATTATCATAAGACAGAAAGGGCAAAACTGATATGAGGCGAGTAAGCATTTACAGCAATATTGTCTAAAAATGAATTATACCCCCACAAAGATATAATGGTTGACAAACCTGAATAGGGAAAGGGAAAAGGAGCTGGAGTCTACAAGTGGTGAAGCAAAGTAAGACTTGAAGTAGCATCACGTTCCCAAAACATGCTGTAAGTAGACACTACGAGGAAGTACTAGAATCAAAAGATGTGGCACCAACCTATCCCCTACTATTAGAGTCATTCTAATTCTAAATTTGGCACTGTTTTAAGCCCTGAAGCAGCAGATTCAGTATTCCTGTTTATTGGGGCTTACTACGGGCATAACCCATCTATATCAATGAAGGAAGAATCCTGAAATAATTTCAGTGGTGATAGATGATTAATTCTTCCTTTACATTCTTCTCGCTGAAAGGATAACCAAGTCTAACTCACAGACTGTTTACTCAGAACTAAACAGGACATATTTGGACAGAGAACGTACCCAACTTCTGAAATTCATTTAAGCAGGAGTTTAGGGCATCATACCTGACAGCTGGAGTTCAAAGTCACAGCATCCTTATTTTATCTAAAAACACAGCCACATTTTCTGTTTCAGGGCAGATATGCGCTGTTCCCACAATCACAAACAGAAACTACAGAAGATGTAATCTTCAGAGATGCTCATCAGGTTTCACCACTAAAGACTTCGGTGATTCCATTCACTTCTTTAGTTACAGAGCAGCCAAAGCTTCTATAATGAGCTAATTCCAGAGCAATACAGAATCTAATACATGTTTTAGGGTTAGGCTGACAGAAAGAACAAAGTGAAATAGAAAGACATCTGAAAGAAAGTTCATAAGGATTTGAAGCAGGTGAGAACCCTCCCAACACGATAAATACAGTTTTTCTGCTGCTCGCAGTACAAACAATGCCTCCTTCTCAGAGATGTCCCCCACCTGGATTTCCAGACAGATAGCAGACCTTATAACAATAAGCAGCAGAAAGGTCAAGCCACTCGGATGAATAAGGAAAGTTTATTTATAGGTATACTTCACAGGACTAACATACTCCTCAAATTCACCTTCGGACACTTTGCACAAGTCTGCAATGAACCACAGTGGTGATTCTCTGACAGTATTTGCCACTTTCAGCTGTCCTAATCTTTGCTTGGTAGAAACAGACCCTGGGAACAATTTTGGAGCATAAGAAATCCATTTGGGCATTCCTTCACAGAGGATAATGCAAGCAATAGTTAATTTATGAACTTGCTGTGCTACTCATGTGCTCTACAAATAGATCAAAACCATCTGGTTTCAATAGTGCATACTTTAACACTGCTTTCAAGCTTTGGGTGCAAGAGCATTACGATGCAAGGCAAGACTCTGACAAACTTAATGGTGACAACATTGACCAACAAAATGGTCTTAAAGATTTCTGCAAATTGAGTCAACTCCAAAGTATTGGTGTGTGGTTGGGATAGCTACACAGATCTGTCTGAAGACCCAACAGTCCGCAGTAAGGCCACTCACTTGCATATTCTGGTTGGAAGCATGGCACTTGCCCTGTGTGTTCAAGGTCCTGTCCACTTTCACCAGCTCTGTTGAATCCCCCCAGCAGAACAGCTCACATGTTCTGGAGAATGACCCAAAACTTCTTCTTCGGATGTGCAAAGCTAAGGACTGCTGCAGTCAGTCAAACAAAATGAACATGTATTCAAATTCTCCATTCCTATTCACACCAACAATGGATACCTGGGGAAGAAGTATAAGAAACATAACTAACAGGATGTTCCTCTTCAGCACATCCTTCGGCACAGTGCCTGAGGACTGGAGAAAAGCCAATGTCACTCCAGTCTTCAGAATGGACAAGCAGGAAGACCCAGGGGGGTCCTGGCCAGCCTCACCTCCATCCCCGGAGAGGTGATGGAGCAGCTCATTCTGGATGTCAGCTTTAAGCAAGTGGAGGAAAAGAAGATGATCAGGAGTAGTCAGCATAGATTCATCAAGGGGAAATCATGCTTGACCAGTCTGATAGCTATCTATGATGGCACGACTGGCTGGTCAGATGAGGAGAGAGCAGTGGATGTTGTCTACCTAGACTTCAGCAAGGCTTTTGACACTGTCTCCCATAACATCCTCCTAGGGAAGCTCAGGAACTGTGGGTGAGATGAGTGATCGGTGAGGTGGACAGAGAACTGGCTGAATGGCAGAGCTCAAAGGGTTGTCATCAGCAGCGCAGTCTCGTTGGAGACCTGTAACTAGTGGTGTCCCCCAGGGGTCAGTACTGGGCTCAGTCTTGTTTAATTTCTTCATCAATGACCTGGATGAAGAGTTAGAATGTACCCTCAGCAAGTCTGCTGATGGCACAAAACTGGAAGGGGTGGCTGATACACCAGCAGGCTGTGTTGCCATCCAGCGAGACCTGGACAGGCTGGAGAGTTGGGCAGAGAGGAACCTGATGAGGTTCAATTAGGGCAAGTGCAGGGTCCTGCAGCTGGGAAGGAACAACCTCATGCATCAGTACAGGCTCGGGGCTGACGTGCTGGAGAGCAG